TTCTTCAATAAATGTGGTGGGTTGTATGCCATCCCTGAAAGTAATAGCCAAATAACACTAAAATAATTATTTAATGCCACGGTTAATTTTGATTTTTTACTAGTTACTTTGCGCACTCCCAGATAACATTATGAGGTTCATAATTGACGCATATTGCAGTTACAACTTGATTGTTAATCCGCACGTATGCATGCATATTATGCATCATTTGCGTCATCAATTGAGGTTCATATAGCCAGCACATGATGGTTGGAGAAACATTGTGAGGTTCATAATTGACGCATATTGCAGTCACAACGTGATTCTTAATCCGCAGTTATGTCACATATATGTATCATTTACCTCATCAATTGAGGTTCATATAGTCGGCATATGTGATGGTTGGAGAAATTTTTCTGGACATGATTAACAGGTGAATTTTGAACTTCATTACCTTAATTTGATTGTTTTTCTTACGTTTCTATTAGTAATTATCTAATTGTCTTTAGTTATTACCTGAAGACCATTACAGATAATTACTAAACGAAACGTTGTAAGTAAAACAATCAAATTAAGTCCAAAACTCAGCTGGTATAAAATATAAATATAAAATTGATTTATTGCGAAATTTTGGTCAATAAGTAATAATCCATAAAGTCTTTTTATTTAAGTCATTTATTTTAGTTTTTGTGACAATTGTCTACATGTATAGAAAGATATCTAATTTTAATTAAAAATTTAAAAATTAGGTATCTTTTTACAAATTTATAAATAAATTAATGATAAATTAATTTATAAATGTGCTCTTAACTCCTTGATCTTAAGATCAATTCCAATTTGGAATTCCAAATAAAATTATGTATACTTTTTATACAAATGTAGTCTACAAATTAAGTCTTTACAAATTCAGTCTTTTCACAAATTACCATATGGTGTAAGTCAATTTTTTGAAAATTTTAGTTATAATATGAAGTAAAATCACGGAAAATTCGCGTGCAACTTCGTCTAATGCTCTTCCCTTGGCTCTTCTTACTTAGTTATAACGCAGTTTTAACGTTTTATCATTTCCTCATATAGATACATATATAGCTATTTTCAACTTTATAAAGACATCTAAATTAAAGTTGTGATTTCTTTCTTATAGAATCCCCTCCAAGGAGTATGTTGGGCCCTCTGTTTGTTAATACCTGTCTGAATTTTATACATATACAAATACATTTACATATACTGGGTTGTTTTCAAAAAAGACCCGCCTTCTGCTGTCCGTAAGTTTGTTAAAAATTATCGGATCTTATTGATTTAAAAACTAAGTGAAAGCCTAACAAGCCCTTAGTAAACTTTCAAAATGTTTGTTTAGTTATTTCAGAATAATTTTTTTTTTATTTTTGAAACTTGTGAAACACACATTTTAGCATGTCCCATTAGCGTTTTATAAAACTTACTTTTTTTTAAATATTGAATAACCAGAACTTTGTGTTGCTTTATAGCAATCCATAACACAAAGCCTTAGATAACATCAAGAAAGGTATGCTTATACTTATTTATAACTAATAAAGAAAATACTCAAAAATCAATAAAAAAAACTTACTGCATGGGAAAAGTAAACCACCTAAGCCATATCTAACATAAAATTTTGGAGCTTTAACACACAATTAAACATATAATAAAAACAAATAAACAAACACGTCACCGAAATTGTTTAAACGCGACAAAAAAAACAATAAAATAAAGGAGTCCACACACTGAGTTCTTTTAGAATTTAATAAGTAACTAAAAATGGAATTTAGTGAATCACAAAAATCTTTTATAACCGAGCTAAATAGACAATAAAATATCAAACCACAGTTTGGAAATCAAGGAAGTTTCAACGCAAGTAGTTGAATTAAAATCAGAAATCCAAAAAGTGCTAGACGGATACGAAAACAGAATTGGAGAACTAGAACAGCAAAACTTAAAACTAAAAAAACAAATATCCTTCTTGAAAGAAAAGTAAGGAAAAATAACATAGTTATCTTTGGCCTCAAAATAGAAGAAAGCGAAGGCATAGATTCACATTTATTAAATTTTTTCCTAACAAAATTAAACCTAGAATTAACTACATCAGATATAAACGATTCATACAAACTAGGATCTGGAAGCAACCCATCACCCCCAATCTTAATAGAATTCATCTCATATAAAACAAAACAATCAATACTTAAAAACGCCTACAAACTAAAAGGTGAATCAATATATATTAATTCTGATTTGTGTCCTGAAGACCAAAAAATCAACAAAATCCTGTATCAACATAAAAAGGAAGCGACAGCAAAAGGTCTTAAAGCCAAAGTAAAGGGAAGTAACCTAATCATTGGGGAGGAAAAATTTTCAATAGAAGACTTAAAAAAAAAAGCCCAGGCTGAACAAGAAGAAGACTCAGAGAAGCTGGCCAGAGCCCCTGCCACTCCGAATCCTATCACGAGTCAAAAAAGGTTGCTAGAAGAGTTTAACTTACCAGAAAGCGAAGAAGAAATTACTACAAAAGAAACTAAAAATAAGGTAATAAAAAAACCAAAACTAACTGATTTAAACGCGACTCGTAAAACTACACGGTCAACAACTCAATCAGTATACCAAACAAAAACTAATAAATAAACATAGTACTTAAATTTTTTTTATAATAATTATCTTTAGGTCTATAATCGTTTTTAATCTGTAAATAAATTGTTTTTATGCTAAATTGTAATAATCGTAATTCCTTCTTTTTATAGACAATTGAATGTTATTTATCACATTTATAGTATATTTAGTATTAATATAATTTATACTCTAGAAATTTGAGTTATTTTTACTATTTTGGTAGTTATTATAATAGGATTTAAATCAATGGATGCATACATTAAATACTTTGAGGTAGAAAACACAATTAAAACTGAAATAACTGAGACAATATGTGAATGTACTGATGTTTTTAAAGTCAATAATCAATACCCCAATTTAAAACTATATCATATGAATATAAGAAGCTTAAACAAAAACATAAATGAACTTGTTTTAGAACTTAATTACAAAAAAAACTTCTATGACATTATAGTGCTCACCGAAACCCACAATATAGATAATATAGGTTTATATAAAATACAAGGGTACACGCTCTTATATAATGATGGCAGAGTTAACCAAAATGATGGAGTTGTCGTATACATTAAGAACGATATAAAATATTCAAGCAATATAAAACATTTTAATTTAACAACAGTTCTTGAATTGAATATTTATTATATGAATAAAAAAATTTATCTTCTAACTTGCTATAGATCACCATCTCTTGACCCAAAAGACTTTATTAATGACCTATATAACCATTTGAACACAATAACTTCAGAATATGATTACTCGTTATTAGTAGGTGATATTAATATAGATATTAAAAAAAAATCTGAAACTAGTCAATACTATCTAGACACATTATCTGAATTTAATTTTAAATCTGCGATTAATGAATTTACAAGAGAACAAAATACGTCACATTCATGCATTGATCATATATTTATAAATACCGAACAAAACACAGAGCTAATACTACCTATTTTAATAAGAACAAATATCACAGATCATTATAGCACAGCAATACAAGTAATCTTTGACACAAAAAAGAAAATGAATACAAACCACCCTAAAACTATACAATACATAAACTATAAAAAACTGCAGAAAGAAATGCAACATTTAAACTGGGACAACTTTTACAGAATTAAAACAGCTGACACTGCTACTAACATTTTTATTAGCACTTTTAAATCTAAAATAAAAATAAGTACGGTCCTCAAAACACTTAATAAAAATAACAAAAAAAGAAAGTCATGGATCACAGATCGACTAATTAATTTAGTAAATGAAAAAAACAAATTATTTATAAAAACCAAAAAGAACAAGGTAAACGAAAACCTCAAAAAACAATACATCACTTTCAAAAACCTTGTTAGCAAACAAATCGAGGAGGCAAAAATATATCTATGGAATATAATCAAAAGACTTAAGAACAACCCTGATAATAACGCCATTTTTTCTATCACTAACAATGACAACAAGACATTGAATACTGATTATGAAATTGCAAATGAATTCAATAAAACATATATTGAAATGGGTGAAAACTTGGCAAAAAACATTAAAGTAGATAAAAACTATAAATCTAGAAAAAAAATTCAGCTTAATTCTTTTTATTTAAGTCAAACAAACGAAACTGAAATTTCTAAAATAATAAAAAACATGAAGAGCAAAAAATCCATTGGAATAGACGAAATAAGTACTCAAGCACTAAAAAATACCGTCGAATTTATTAAAAAACCATTAGCTCACATAATAAATATTATTTTAAAAACGGGAGAAATACCAAAATCTTTTAAATGCTCCATTATAAAACCAATATATAAAAAAGGCCCAAAAGAAAAACCTGAAAATTATCGCCCAATATCATTAATAAGTAATGTTGCAAAAATTTTTGAATACGTATTAAAAGGTCCACGGTGTGCCCAGCACTGATTCAACCCATGAACTTCTGCACATCTGAGATTTTTTTAGATTCTGTATCTGCATGACCTATAATTATTTTAACAAAAAAAATTAAAATCTTCGGCGGAACCGTTTTTGAGAAATTTACTTTTGATTTTTTTTTCTGCAAAATGTAGAAAAATAAATACAAACATTTCAATAAACGTTTCAAAAAATTAATTTGAGGTGATCTTACATATTTATCATCTAAAAGTCTTCATAATATGTAAAAACGTTTAGTCACTCACTACGATAACCTCTTATTTTATTGAAAAAAAACGTAATCAAGTCAGATTTCTTATCGAATGTAATACCACTAGAGGTTCGATTTAGCCGGATATTTTTTGACTTTTCACGAAAACTACCAAGTTTGAGTTAAAAGTCCAAAAATATCCTCCTTGACAGTTTCTAATTGTTTAAAATTGACAGGAGTGGAATTGTCAGTAATTAATTATCCTGCAAGCAGTCAGCTTCGCGCGCGTGTTGACCTTTTACCGCAAAAATGTCTAAAGATCATGCGTTAACGCATAGTGAAAATAGATTTAAAGTTTGTTTGTTTTGTTTTAAAAAGAAAAAAGCTATGTTCCCAATTAAAGACAAATTAAAACTTGTTGTTTTAAGCCTATTTGCGGATTATGATGTTGAAGAAAAAAGTTTGCCTGTAGCCTTATGTAGTTCCTGCAAGATTAAAATATATAAAGCAAAACATGGTTCTGGGAGAATGGAACTGAAGCTTCCCATTTTGTCTGATGATGAGAAACAAAAGAGAGCAACACGATCCCAAGATGTTACAAAATGTAGTTGTAAACTGTGTCAAATCGCTCGAGCCGTACCGGCAAATATTGCTCAAGCAACACATGATTTTATAACAGAACAACACAAAAAAGAAATGGTTGTTTCTTCGTCGGTGGAAAAACGGTGTAGTGTCTGTTGTACTATTCTAGCAAGAGGAAAACAACATGTTTGCAACAAAGTTTCTCTAGTGCAGAATATTTCTGGATACTTGTCAGCCCTGGATGAAAAATCTCAAAGCCAGGTAATTTCAAGTGCCCTTAAACGTAAAGTAAGCGACACTGGGTTATCAGATTTAAGTTTAGTGCAATCTCACGGTGGCCAACCATTAAAGATTAAAGTCGGTGGCAAAGAAAACTGTATAAATGCTCCAAACCAATCTTTAATTTCTGCAAATGATATCCAGTCAATTCAAACTAACTTGAACCTGAGTTACAGAAAAAAAATTGAAATTGCATCAGTTATACGTTCTGCTTCCAAAAATAAGACAATTATAGAAAGTGGGTACAAAGCAAAACTCGAGAGAAACACACATTTAGCTGATGGGTTTTTCACATATAAAGAATTTAAATTTGTAAAACATAAAACAAGTATATCATCCGATGATCCTGAAGTGGTTGTATATTGTACAGATGTAAAATCCTTTATAGATTTTATCAAACAGCGGAGAAATATCAAAAATACTCATTTAAAGTTAGGCATAGACGGCGGCGGAGGATTTCTAAAAATATGCTTGTCGATCCAGGAAATCTCAAACAATGGTTGTGAGACAGCTTCTTCTAAAAGCGTTATTGCCTACAAACAGTTCAAGGACACTGGGGTGAAAAAAGTATTTATCTTGGCAATATCACAGAGTACCCAAGAAAATTACGAGAATGTGTGTGTGTGGTCGGCATTGAATATATCTACTTTTGATGAAACCATTGCAACGGACTTGAAGTTGGCAAATATTTTAGTTGGTATAATGTCCCACAGCAGTTCTTACCCATGCACGTGGTGTTACGCAAGAAGTGACGAACTCGAAACTTGTGGAGAGCTTAGAACAACTAAAAATATTTTGGAAAATTATGAAAATTGGATTAAATCAGGCACTATTAAGAATAATGCAAAGTTCTACAAAAATTGTAACAATCCACCATTGTTTTCATGTGCTCAAGAAACTCCTGTTCTACAGATAATTCCTCCACCAGAGCTACACTTGATGTTGGGGGTGGTTAACACTTTATTCGGACATATGATGAAAGAATTTGAGGCCGAATCTCTTGCATGGGCAAAAGCGTGTCATGCCCAACGCGAAGTTACCCATGGAGGGCATGGATTCAAAGGAAATTCGTGCAGAAGATTACTAAGCAACGTCGATGTGCTACGTGCGAAAAAAAAATTAGGCTTGCTCAAATATGTCAAAGCTTTCGAAGACTTTAATGAAGTAGTAAAGGCATGTTTTGGAAATAATCTAGATGAAAACTTTGCTACTTATATCAACATATTTAAGCAAAGTTTTTTGGACTTGGATATTAAAATTACACCAAAAGTTCATGCAGTTTTTTACCACATCACTCAGTTTTGTAAAGAAAACAATATGGCATTAGGTTTTTTTAGCGAACAAGCTATGGAATCTATCCATTTCGATTTTAAAGCAACTTGAGAGCGATACCAAGTCCCAAAATCACATAATGAATATTTAAGAAGACTGTTACGTGCCACATGTTTCTATAATACCCAACATATTTAATTTTTTGTGTTTTCTTTATTAATAATCGTTGTGATATATATCGTATCGTAATATCGTATTGATTTATTATGTTTTTTTTTGTATTTATTATTGTTGTTCCTATCTTATCTATTCACTAATCTAATCTTTATTTATATTAACTACCTTGTTGTTTCGTTGTTATTTGAAAATTTATCTTTATACAATATTAGTATTAATTAAAGTTCATCTAAACAAATTATGACTTATTCCATTTTTCCTTGATTACAGAAATGACCACGCCTGTTTTCTAAAATTTGAACTTAAATAATACGTCAATATAATAATATTCTAAAACTATACCTAATTAAAGAATGTTTGGTAATATGTTTTCAAATTTTAGAGCCATTGCACCAATCACATATCTGTTTTTCTTACCTTCTCTATTGAAATGGGTATTTCTCAAAAACGGCTCCGCCGAAGATTTTAATTTTTTTTGTTAAAATAATTATAGGTCATGCAGATACAGAATCTGAAAAAATCTCAGATGTGCAGAAGTTCATGGGTTGAATCAGTGCTGGGCACACCGTGCGTCTGGATGATTACCTCAATAAATATAAAATATTGTCCAAAAAACAATTTGGATTCCAAAAAGGTATTTCGACACAAGACGCCATATCAACACTCACTCATCAATTATACGAGTCACTTGATCAATCCACGCCATCACTAGCCATCTTCCTAGATCTTGCAAAGGCCTTTGATACCGTAAGTTTTCCTATACTTTTAGAGTGCCTGGAGAACATTGGTATCAGAGGCATAGCCTCAAAATTATTTAAGAACTATGTATATGACAGAAAGCAGTGTGTTGAAATTAATGGCGTAAGAAGCTCTTTCGACAGCAACAAATACGGGGTTCCACAAGGTACAATTCTTGGACCACTGTTGTTTGTCATCTAAAGTTAAATTCTACAGGTCATATACTCACATTCGCGGATGATACTGTCATAGTTTACAAAGCCAATACATGGACAGATCTCAAGGAGAAAGCGGAGACTGATTTTGGTCAAATTATCAAGTGGTTTGATAATAGACTACTTACCCTCAATTTTGATAAAACCCATTTTGTACCTTTTACATCATATACTGTTAATTTACCTAGCTTCGACTCCTTAAGATTATGTATAAACAATCGAATAATTAACATTAATAAAGAAACAAAGATAAAATATCTTGGTGTACTCATAGACTGCAATTTAAAATGGGACAAACAAGCAGAATACATTATAAATAAATTAAGATCAATCATACCGCTTTTTAGATACTTTAAAAATTTTTTAACAATACAAGAACTTAAAATATTGTACTATGCATTAATACAGTCAAATTTACAATATGGTATTCTAGGATGGGGAGGTCTACTCAACGCCCATTACAACCAAATTGAGACTATACAAAAAAGAATCCTAAAAATAATCTATGGTAAACCTCAAATTTACTCTACCGAAGAAATATATCACCTATCAAAAGTTTTTGACGTACGGCAACTATTCTTTCTCGCTGTATGCATTTATCAATTTAAAAACAAAAATCAATTATCCACTGAACACAGTTATAACACCAGAAATAACCAACCATCAAATGCACTAAAAGCAAAAAAAAACAATAGGCCAGCGTAATTTTAAATTTTTAAGTCATAACATATTTTCATCTATCCCTTATCAATTAAAAAATTGTGTGAGCATCTACTTGTTTAAATCTAAATGTAAATTATATCTACAAAAACAACCTAGATTGGAAATACATAAAATAATTAATTTAAAAAATAAGTCATGATTTCTAGTCAGCTTACAAAAAGCTTTAAATAACAGTTATTAATTAATTAATTAATTATATCCATTGATTTATATGAGTATTAGAATATCCATTGATTTATATTTATATTAGTATTTATTTTAGTTGTATATTAGTATTTATTTAGTATTAACATTTTTATTTAATTCTGAAAATTTTAATTCACCCCATTATCGTTGTTAAAGTTTATAATTATATTGTATTTATATATTCCTTTATGTATTATCCACACACAGATGCTCTTAGCATCTCGTGGATTATTATGTTTATTGAACAGTATGTATATATTAATTTTTAAGTTTTCTGTTTAATCTTTCAATAAACGTTATTTTTATTATTATTATAACATCCTTAGTTAATACAGTAAACAATTTATATATAAATTAATTAATCTTAATATACTTTTTTTAAATTTGACTCATGTCCCAGACATTTTTTCCGCTGCGTTACGTCCGTTGTGTTACCGATAGAATATTTAAAAAAACATATATATATGGCAACTGTTTTGGCACTCACGTGATCAACAAATGATGTTCGAATGTACGCATTACCCAGCTAAATTTATTTATTCAACCAGGAAGAAGATATCGGTTGAAACAGGTGCGGGTAACGCGAATGTAGTAATTGTTTGTCCACTAAGTTACTCAAAAAAAAAATAAAAATAACGTAAGAAAAAATACTATTTTTCATGTTTTTGTTTATTTTAGGGCACTAAAACTAATTGAGAGTAATTAATGACTAATGTTTTATTATTCTTTTTTAAATATGGTTTTTCAAAACTTTTTCCACTGCGTTACCGAGTCCATTATGTTACCTTATGGTAACGCAATGGAATTTAGGGTAACGCAATAGAATTTTTCGACAACAAAGTGGATATTTACCGTCGCTTTTATTAAAAGTAGTTTATGATAAACCAATTTAAAATTATTTGTGATTAAACTCATGATATAGATTACATCCAAGGGAAAATTCCACGCAATATACAAGTACTAAAAGGGACGCAAGACCAGCTCAAAGAAAAAGGGTGCCTACAATTTAGAAATCTAAGTTGTTATTGTGCAAGTGAGCACCACTACAAGGGATTTTGTTCATGCATTACTCTAAAATCGTACCACCCTATATAGTTTCTGTTTTACGTTATCTAATTAAGTCCTTTGTGTACCCCAGTCCGTTGTGATACCAATGTCTATTTCGTTACTTTTTTTTTAGTTTTTGTTAAAAAAAATACTTAAAATGATTTTTATACACTATCACTTGGTAATACGTGTTTATAACTCACTAATACAGTGACTAAAAGAAAATATTAATGGTATTGTTTTTTTAACAAAGAATCGGAATGGTTTCTTTTAAAAAGTAACTTAACAAACATAAATATTTAAAAAAGCATACAATTTTTAATAAAAAATATAATAAAAAAATGGAGTCAAAAGTTTGTGAACTAAGTACATTTAATTACAAATTATATTTATAACTACTTTTTTTTATTGAATTAAATTTTGGATTTCAAATTGGTAACTCAGTGGAGATATACATATTAAGCTAGCTAAACCCAATTTAAAAAAAAAACGTAAAAAAAATAAAAAGTGCACTGCCAGTCTTAAATGTAAGTAAACAAAACTCTAAACATTTATAAAAATCCAACCAAAAGTCAATTTAAGCAAAAAAATTTTGATCTTCATTTTCCTGAAAGCGGGTGTTTCTTGAAAATGACCCATACAGATAAATAATTAAGCACGGTTGGGGATAAGATCTAAGTAAAACTATTCGAGTTAATAATATATTTGTATTGTTTAAAATCCGCTGGTCAAAATGGTACATTAAAAAAGAAGTTAAGACGCAGAACAAATTTATAGTCCAGGGGACGATCGAAAAAAAAACTCGTGCTGCCTCCCTAGCATTGCGCCCATACTCCCCATAAATAATTATCATTTCGGCATTATCAGAGGAGGAAAACATAACTTAAAATGATAAATAATGACAAGAACAAAAATGACAGCAGTTTCACAATGAAGTGGATTCCAGTCGAGCAAAATTTTACATTCATATACAGGGTGAGTCATAAGTGGTGAACTTCCCGAAAGGTGCATGTAGGGGGGCCTTAATATAGGTAGGGAAAAATGTTAAAAAAATTCCAAATGAAAAAGTGACCGAGGAATTCAGGTCTCAAGTTTTAAATTTAACTTTTTTAATATTTAATATTTTTCCACCTTATATGATTTTTACTGAAGAGTTTAGGGTTCTTAAATATTTCCTAGCAAAAAAATTGCCCGAAAAAGTGTATTTTCTTTTAATTTTAATGTTTTAGAATGATTTTTTAACAATTGAAATGATCTGGCAACTTTGTAAACAACAATACGAAAATTGACATTGACGTTTATATTTTATTTTTTTGGTGTTTTCTGGTTATTATTTTGTCGAGTCTATTTGTAATCAACAATGCGAAAATTAACTTTGACGTTTATATTTTATTTTTTTGGTGTCTTGTTATTATTTTATCGAGTATATTTAATAAAATGTACACCAATCAAGAATATGTGAATATAGCCCGGGTATACGCAGCAAGTTTTTAGAAGGATGATGGTCAGAGCTAGAGAGACTGGATCTCTAATTCCCACGGCAGGTCCTGACCTTGGTCGGCCTCTAGAGATTGTACCCGAAACTGATGAGTTAATCATCCAGCTGATTCAAGAAGATCCAACAAGAAGTACCAGAGGGATTGCTCAGGAGCTTGGCATGTCCCAGACATCTATAACCAGGCGATTAAAGAAGGAAAAGTTTTATCCATACCACTACACTAAAGTTCAGGCTCTTAACAACAACGATTTCGGTTTGCGTTTAAATTTTTGTAATTGGTTATTTGGAAAAATTAATGAGGATGATGATTTTTATGGACTGATGAGGCAAATTTTAGTAGGGATGGGTATTTTAATAGTAGAAATTGCCATTATTATAACCAAGAAAATCCACATAGATAATGGGAATTTAATCATCAAAATCGCTTCAGTGTAAATGTTTGGGTTGGGATAATTAAAAATTGGGTTATTGGGCCTATCATATTACCGCGGCGGTTGAATGGGGATCAATTTTTAAATATTTTGGAG